AATCACACTCATATTTCTTAGCAATTGATATTTGGAGGAATTTAGGTACCATAGCTTATAGCTATGGCTGGGGCCTTTTTTGTTATTTTTTGGAGGGGGACATTTGGTGGGATTTGCAGGGGCTTTTTCTACCTATTTTACTCATTAACAAAATCTATCACTTAAAATTGGTCATTTGCAGCTAAATTTCATAATTTTAAAGGCTCCGGAAACTGAGATAAGGAAATACCACCTACTACTATGCTAAACCATAGTAGTATCAACAAAACACAAGGCTTAGGATGACATATTACACTAAGACATTAAGCGATTTGTTTTTAGTCTTAGCATGTTGTGTGAATCTAATCACAGAATGTTGTCACTTAGAATAATAAGTATGAGCTGCCTTGCTTCAGTGAAGAACAAATAAATCTAGTGTATCATTTTAAAAATCTCTGGTTGTTATAATAGGAATCTCCCAAAATGCAAGTGCTACAGTATTTCCACAGCCGTATGATTATGCATTAGATTTTCTTGAGTATTCAAGATTCTTGAAGCCTTCTCTGAACTTCATTGCTATGGTGAGTAATGTTGTTTTACTGTTTGCTTTTTTCAGAAATGGATTGAATGAAAGATGCATCAGAAAGATGGAATTACAGTCTCAAAAAGTTTAGAAGACTTAAATGATTTAGCTACAAGTCTTAAGGAAGCCATTTTATTTCTCAAAATCTCCAATTCCACACCAAAACAAAAGAGGCCAAAAATGTTCATTTCCCATTTGATATGTATTATTATTATTATTATTATTATTATTATTATTATTATTATTATTATTATTATTATTATTATTATTATTATTATTATTATTATTAATAATAATAATAATAATAATAATAATAATAATAATAATAATAATGTTCCACTGATTAATTGTTTTAACTGTCAGAAAATTTCTCCTTAGTTATAGGTTGCTTCTCTCTTTGGTTAGTTTCCATCCATTGCTTCTTGTCTTGCCTTCAGATGCTTTGGATAATAGCTTGACTCCCTCTTTTCTGTGGTAACCCCTGAAATATTGGAACACTGCTATTATGTCATCCCTTGTCTTTCTCTTCATTAAACTAGTCATACCCAGTATCTGAAGTCTATATGTACAGTGTGGGCTACAGTATTTAGTATTTTTGTTTGACATGCTCATATCCAAGATTGTCCATAAATATTTATTTCTTTTGATATTTATTAGATTTATATATTAACCTTTATTTTCTACAACTCAGGGTGGAGAGTTAGAGCAACATTGAAGTCACCAGATATTCTAATTCTGCCGAAGATAGTATTACCATTTCAAATAAGCGTTCTACATAAAGGTTATTATTGTTTTAAAGAATTTTGTTTCTAAAATTTAATTTGTTTTCAGTTGAAAGTAAGAAGAAATGATGATCATCCACTAACGTCTGATGAAAAAAAGAATAATGTCACAATCACGGTCACACAGTCCAAAATTTCTTATCAGATATTTGAGGATGATAATGAATCGCTGCAAAAGAACACAGTTTATGAGCTAAGTTATCCTGTTCCAGGGGATGGGGTTATTCAGATGGAGCTTCCAGTTTCAGCTAATACAACAGTTTTGCATATTAAGGTATATTCCTTTCCTGTCATTTGGTCTAAAGGAAAGCTTTAACTGTCCAGTGAAAATAATCTCAATATGGAAATTTGTTTAATGCCTGTCTTCTTCCTCAAATGTATCTCACTAGGCATCAGATATGTATATTGCTTTGTAATATTCTCAATAGAATATTGCTGTTGTTATTAAACCACAGTTTCCTATTAGATTAAAAATTCTTTAAGAACTGTGGTTTGGGTTTGGGCTTTCCCAAAGTTGATGAGGCAAGTATGGTATGTGGGCAGGGAAGCGCCATAGTTTTCTATGGCTCATTTGTAATCCAAACTGCTTTAAGGGTACCTCGACTTACAACAGTTTATTTAGCCACTGTTCAAAGTTACAACAGCACTGAAAAAGTGACTTATAACAATTTTTCACGTGGCCATTGCAGCATCCTCATGGTCACATGACCAAAATTCAGATGCCTGGCAACTGACTCATAATTATGATGGTTGTAATGCCCCGGGGTCATATAATCACCTTTTGCAACCTTCTGACAAACAAAATCAATGGGGAAGCCAGGTTCTCTTAACAACTGTGTTACTAACTTAACTGCAGTGATTCACTTAACAACTGTGGCAAGAAAGGTCATAAAATGGGGCAAAGCTCACTTAAGAAATGTTCCACGTAACAACAGAAATTTTGAGCTCAATTGTACCTGTAGTTTGAACAGGGCAAATGCTTAATAGGTATGCTGTTAGCAATATTCATCCTTAGTTTCTTCAAATGAATATTCAAAACAAAAGGATAGGGTTGTATTTGAGGAACTATGCTAAGCGTTGAGTCTTCCACCTCTATTATTACATTTTTAAGGAAGGGTATACTTTTTAATTATTGTCTTATGTGCTTTTTTTCGTCTTTCTTTTTTCTTTTTAACAGGCTGAATTTCTGGAAAGTCAAGCTTCCATAAAGATAAGTGATGTGTTCTACTCACCCAGTTTGACTTATCTCCAGATTAGAAAAACAAGCAAGGATTTTAAAGTAACTGCTTCTATCAGTAATTGAACAAGTTTCCCAAGTAAACAACTGTATTACATTATGATTGGTGTGTTCAATCGAGACCTCTTATTTTTCCTAGGTTGGGACACCTTTGGAACTCAGTGTTGAAAGCAGCATGCCGTTGAATGAGATCAATTATATGGTAGATCTTAATTATTTTATTTTATTTATTTTTTAAAAAATCAGAGCTGAATGTTACTAAACCTTCCTGAGCTGAGGACCTTGTTCTGTTTTGCTTGGCGTGTAGATAGGGTATATTTAAGGAGAAAAATGGAACAACGGATGAAATAAGTAAACAAAGGCAAAAAAATGATTAGCTGTTTCTTAATGGGACTGATTTTCAGCTGCATTTGTGCCTCTAGTAATTGAAGCACAGCATTAGATCGAATCTGGGTCGGTCACAGGGACTAGAGGTTTACTCTTCCGAGCTTTTGTACTCTTGCTGGAGGCCATCATGGACTCTTACACAAGTCCGAAAGCTTGGAAGATTAAACCTCTGGTTCCGGTGACCGACTCAGATTTAATCTTGCAACATTATCTTGGGACATGTAGACCTGCCTTCATCAATATCGTTAAACTTCAATTACTTTGGAACAACAAAGTAAAACTGAAGCAGAAGAGCTGAATGCCCAGCTTCTTTTGAAAGAGTGGAAAAATTATGTAGAGAATTATGGTTGCACAACCTGTGTTGTTATTTGGCTTGTTGGTATCATGAGCATCACTTTGCTTTTTACACAAGTACTTTGGGGGAGATTGGGAGTTGAGCAATTTGCAAGTGCAGGATTTGTTTGGAAGAATAAGGGTGTCTAAAAGTTTTACTAAAATGGATTATCTCTCAAAATCCAACCTGTCTATCTGTCCCAAAACAATGCAGAAAATAGCAGTAATTAAATGAAGAATTAAAAATGAAGAATTTTTGTAACTAATGTTAAAATAATGAACTTAAAAAAAAATTAAAATATTGATTGATTGACCAATTATATATATCATCATTCAACTAGGAAAGATTTCTATTTATTTATTTATTTATTTATTTATTTATTTATTTATTTATTTATTTAATTAATATATTGCCCCACCACATCTTACCACAGAGTAGCCAAATAAAAATAATTATGCTACAGTTAAAGACTTTAATCTAGATTAATTCATTAGACACAGTTACCAAATACATATGTATTGAGAAAATATAGGGGTTTTTTGTTTTTTGTTTTTTTGAAAAAACTATTATTGTTTCAAATCAGTTTCGAATCCTGAAACTTAGATTGCATGTTTATGCATCTGAATTCTCAACAATTCTGCTTAAGCTTGCTTTGTTACTATCTGAAAGTCATCTACCAGTTGATACATTTTACAACCTTTTGGTATATTTAAAGAATTTTTAAATAGATTCAGTGAGCATTATATTTCTGACACAGGAACATCAAACTAGTGTTAATATAGTATTTATAGCTAGGAATAGAATCCACTATTAAACATAAAATTCATTACAATCAGAAGTTGACATGATTAGATGGAAAATATAATTCTAATATATAAAAAGTATGCATTAAAACAAAAATTTTAGAAATAAAATATTTAATACTCCCTTGTATCTCTGATTAAAGACACTTACTTAAATTAAACATGTTATACTAAAAAGACAGCCATTTCAATTACATTTTTAGACTATAATGTTGTAAGGCCTGAGAAAAAGTTTCATAAGTTTTATACAGTAAGTCAAAAAGTTTTCAGTTTGTCCCCAAGTTGATATGATCAACTGATGAAAGCTTTAATTTCAAATTCAATGTTATTATTTCTCATCCTGTCCTTTCCCAGACAAAATAACCTTGTATATTTTTCTTTTTAAAAAGTGATGTTTAGATCAGAAACCATTAAGTGCCTATTCACATTATTTCTATAAGCGCTTCATATGTTTTAGGTGTGGTATTTTTTTTACTCATAGGTGATGTCCAGAGGTCAGATTGTGGATGCAGGGAAAAAGAAGACCACAACATTAAGTTTAACCCCAGAAAATTCTTGGTATCCTATGGCTTGCATAATTGTCTTCTATGTGCATGATAATGGGGAAATAATAAATGATTTTCTACATATTCCTGTTCAGTGGACTTTTAAAAATCAGGTAAATATACCAGTCTTCCCTTCATAATAAACGGAGAGGTGGAATTTTACAAGCCACCTGGGTTAATAGACTATAGGGTTATATCAGTGCTGCAGAGATGAACTTTGGTATTTTACAAGGACGGATAGAAAAGCATAGAAGGAGGGGGTTGTTAGATTAAGACAATACTGAAAGCTATTTCTCTTGTTAAAAAAAAAGAATTTTTTTCTAAAGAGGAATCCGTTATGAAAAGCTGGCATAAACCTTTAAACCAAGCGTCCTGACATAATAGATAATTAAATTTGTGCCTGAACATATTCTCCTTGCCAGTGTTTTCCATCAGTGGAGTTATGTTTCCTTGATTTTGAAAAACAAAAGGGAAAAAAAGAAAGAAAAGGGAGGTGTTATTGTATAAATTGTGCATGCTGCAATTCATAATTGCGTCTTATATTCAGTGCTTTCTAAGAAAGTGAAATAACTCATACAGTATTAAAATTACATTTTATTAAAATGAAGGTAATACCGCGTTTTCCCAAAAATACAACCTAGCTATAAAATAAGACCTAGTTTATTTTGGGGGGTTCGGGCTAATATAAGCCCTACATCAAAAAGTAAGCCCTACTTAACCCTGCCCACTCTGTCCCACCATAGTTTTTTTGGCAGGCCAGATCACATGCCTATCCCCACCTTACCTGCTGCCAATGGTGCCACTGCAAGTTCAATTTTGTGGCTCAACTAAATTGTTCAGCTGTAACGGGCTGCAGTTCCCATCAGCTTCAGGAAACGTTAGGCCAGGCTCCTCGCAGCTGAAGCAATCTGGCTCGCCCGGGGTCAGGTAGGCCATTGTGGGAGGCATGACCCATCCCTGTCCTCCAGCTCTGCCGCACATGTGGGATGAGCCTCCCACAATGGCCAACCTGACCCTTGGCGAGCCGGATAGCTTACAGGGAGAGGCTGTGCGTTGCAGGAGGACGACTGCAAAGGGTGCGCCTGGATCCCTGCAGCTCCTGGAGGCTCCAGCGTTGCTTTTCACACCATTCAGTTTCCCACCCCACGTATGCCAGGCTGATCTGGTGGGCGGGATTGCCTTCCATCTTCCCCGCCCGCTACATTGGCAGCTGACACTGCCCTCCTGAGAAGCAGCGTGGCGATTGGACAGCAGCCATGCTGCGAATGTGGTTAGACCAGTGGTGGCAAACCTATGGCACGTGTGCCAGAGGCGGCACTCAGAGCCCTCTCTGTGGGCACGGATGCCTTGCCCCAGAGATGGCAACCGTCCCTCTTCAACCAGCCGCCCGCTAACTCGCCAAAGTCCCACGTGGCTGGATGCATCCCAGCACCCATGCGCTCGCTGGCCTCTGTGTGCGGGGGCGATGGTGTCAGACAGCAGCCACCCCGGCCCCTGCCTTGCCTTGCCCTGCGACAATGGCACCCCCACCCTGCCTCACCTCACCTCACCTCACAGGACAAGCCTCTTGCCCACCGCCCCACCTGCCAAAGACCCCCTGGATCTCCCCCAACCCTGCCTTGCCCCCACATGCGTTCCTCCCCACGAGCAACATCGAGGTGATCACGTCCACCTTGGCCACACTTACCCAGTCTGCCATGACCACCACAGCCACGCCCACTCAGTAGGCCACGCCTGCCTGGCACCCAATGATAAATAAGTGGGTTTTGGGTTGCAGTTTGGGCACTCAGTCTCTAAAAGGTTCGCCATCACTGGGATAGACCATCCTCCCAAAGCGCCACTGAAAACAGCGAGGCAAATGCGCACACAGACACGGCGTGAAAAGGGCACACACGGATCCCTGCAGCTCCTGGAGGCTTCGAGCTCAGCCCTGGGGCGGCCGTGCTGGGCGGTGGCGGGAAGGGGGCCGAGGTGGCTTGGGGAGGGAGGGTGGTAATATGGCCCAAAATATCTAAGGCAATAGAAACATCTCTGATAGTCATGAAAAGTATATGAAGATTGGCACATGAGATATGCCAGGGCTGAAAAAGCTTGAAAGTGACAGCAATTTCAAAAAGTACTTTAACCAGTGAACTTAAAACATTGATAAGGACAGATGATAAAATACAGTCCTTCAGGTACTGCTCTATCAAACCATGAAGAACCTTTCTAAAACTGGTAGTTTGAGTGGACTGAGATCTGCCCCATTCAATTGAGACCATGATATCCAGACAGCCACTAGATGGCAGCAAACACATGGCATTTCCTGTATTTTTGTAGCTGTTCAACAGTTGTCCAACTTTTTGTAGCCCAGAACTGGTAACCATACAATAGTGCTTAAAAATTTGTGAATCTGTTTGTATTTCCAATATTTCTGAATAAATATGGCCTTAAACCTAATCTGTTCTCTGTTTAATTCCTAAAACTAGATAAAAGGAACTCAATTAAGCAAAAGCATTATACAGTATTTGCTTATTTACTTACTGAAGAAAATGATCGAAAGCTACACTATAATTGCTTTACCTATTGCTAATCTGTGCATAATACACTGATCTTTATTCCAGCTTCATAAGAACTGATTTACCAAATTCAGTTTCCCCCTATGCAGTAAAGCTTATTTATGGAGGTGCACTTAATGGCTTCAACCACAGTTTAAGTTATTATGCAAGTAGCTATTTTTTTGCCTCATTAAAAGTCCATTTTGTATGAGTTTAAAGCCTCTCAGTGAAGAGAAATGTTTTATTTTGAGAGAAATATTTTTACTTCTCTTTAGTTAGAACAGGTTTTATAAATACATGCAGGTAGTCTTTGACTTACAACCATTCAAAGTTACAATGGCACTGAAAAAAGTGACTTACTGGTCTTTGAAACATTAATTTGTAGATAGATTTTCTTTATTGTGTGATACAGTCTAATTAACATTTGCACAATTCATACAGCTCCTCAGCCAGCAGTACAGCATCCAAAAATACCTGGATATTTACAACATCAATCAATACACTGTCAATGTTGCCACAAACATTCCTTGTATATGTATCCATAAAGGGCAGGAAGTTAAAGACTGTATATATCTTGCCCAGCGTAAAACCATAATGCATTTCTCAAATGTTGCTTACTGTCACCTTTTATTGCTTTTCAGTCAGAATTCTGCCAATCTAAGCACATTTCATAAATGGATCTCCCTGAAGTTTTTATATTCACTGTTGCTGTCTTTTACATACTATTCTTCCAGGCATTTACACAATCGTTCAGTGAACAAGCCACACCCATATTTTAACATTTCTCCCATTGCACTATTTTTGCAAACTTTCCATTTTTCAACATTCTCATAGCATTTGTGATTTTCCTTTTCTAGGGCATCAACTTATACTCCATTTGTTTCAATTCCACACTTGTAGATGTTCCTGTATATATATTTAAACTGTTTTAATTCATGTAATCATCTTTATTTTTAATTCCTTTCAATCTACTGGAGGCTTTCTGATCAGTTCCCCTGTCCATTGGATGGGAGGTGATTTGTTATTAATTTTTATTAATTATTCCTTTTCCTTTTATTAATTATTCCTTTTACCTCAAAAATAAATCCTTTATCAGTAAGTTACTTTGCATTTTAAATATTTCTCTTGAAATTGTTACTGGGTTTCTGAGCCATCAACATCTGTTTATGGTACAGTATAATAAAGGACAAGGGGGAAAAACCCAAAATGATGTAACATTTCAGTCTGCCCAAAAAACTTTCATACAGAGTATATTATAAAATTAAAAAAACAAGAACCCACTGTTGATTAATTACAATGCTTGCTCTGCTATGTGAAACAAGACAAAGTGCAATTAATCTTAAATACAGGTAATTAACAAACCAACTAGAATTTATATTTTAAGAAAGTGACTTATTTTTACTTGTTATACATTAAAACAGAAATGGGGACTTCTGAACTAGTTCTATCAGGAGAGAAAAAGAAATACACAAGAGCCTGAGGCTACTTTGAGCTTATTCTTGTAATGCTAAGCTGTCGTTTAAAATTACATTCAGTGCAACCAAAGTGAAGCGCAAAATGCTTGTTGCCATAAAGTACCAAGTGGCCAGTTAACTGCTGGAACAAATTTCTTTGTCTTTTCTTTGTCTCCATCTGTTCTTCCTCTTTTCTTTTCCTAGTTTCAACATGTGGCCTCCATTCCCTTACATTCCTTGTCTGCTCTCTCATGACTTGTTCTCTTTCTTCAGGTGTCCCATCTTATGTTCAAAATGGTCAGTTTTTTAAACCCTCCCTACTCCTCGACAGCCCTTTCA